TGCGATTCGCCGTTGGTTGTCAATAATATCTTAAACTAGAAACGAAATAACCGAAAGCAATAATATGTAACTGTTAAGAAAAAAATGCTACTCATTTCAAACAACCTCAGAGGAAGACATTCCATGTGATGAAAAATGTATACTTATCACTGTCTCATACAGCCCGCGTAATGACAACTTCAGAATTGCACAATGACTAACCAACATATAGACAAGTAGAAATAGAGCAGCATAATGTTTGTTATTATCAATGAGCTCACGTGTGAGTAAACCTGGAATTAAAAACCATGCATGTGACCACTCCTTTTGACATTCACTAGCTAATAAAGGATCTTGGAAGTAATATATTATGACGGAATATACTTCAATAAAAAGCGAAGAGTAAATAGTTTCATTTCTAGTAAAAATGAATCTCCAGTTAATTAAAAACAATTGTTAAGAAGTCTCTATTCCGCATTTTAGCATAAGCTTCAACAAATGTAATATGCATTGCATTACGCTAACTCAATATATACGTAAAGAATTTAAAAGATATAACCTTTTATAGAACGTTCTCCTTACTAAACTCTGGAACAAAAATATAGGGCGTTTGTTGCGCACCCTGGTTTTTGCACGACAGTGCGTTTTTTTCTCTGAAAGAATTTCTGAATATCGATCGCATGACCAAGGCCACACTCTGATGCGGGTTCGAATCTCAACGAATGCCGCGAGTTTTTTCAATATTAGGTCAACTAAATTAACAAAATCTGCCAAAACATCTAAAAAATTACGTTAGTCTAGTAGTCATTCTGGTGGATTCGGGATGATTGCTTAGGAAATCCTGCTTGGGCTGTCAACATGCTGTTCCGCATTGGTGGATTGAATGTGAGCGGCAAAGTTAGGCGGATAATATTGATCCAAGTGTGATTTAAACGCGCGGTGTGAATCGCGACATTCGTAGCTCAACTTGCTGTCCCGCATTGGTGGATTTCATGTGAGCGGCAAAGTTGGGTGGGTAACATTGATCTAAGTATGATTGAACTCACGGTGTGAAGCGCGACATTCGTAGATCAAGTAGGCAGAGCGTTGGCTAGGCTAAAAGGCCACTCTCCTATTAGGGTTCGAATACTGCCGAATGCCGCGTTTTTTTTCACAATCATGTCAACTGAATTAACAAAATCTGCCAAACAAACTAAATAATTACGTTAGCCTAGTAGCCCTTCTGGTGGATTCTCGATGATTGCTTAGGAAATGCTGCTTGGGCAGTCAACTTGCTGTCCTGCATTGGTGGATTCCATGTGAACGGCAAAGTTGGGCGAGTAATATTGATTCAAGTGTGATTAAACTCACGGTTTGAAGCGCGACATTAGTTGCCCAAGTGGGTAGAGCGTTGGCTTGGCTAAAAGTCCACTCTCCTATGCGAGTTCGAATCCCGCCGAAAGCCGCGGGTTTTTTCACTATTGGGTCAACTAAATAAACAAAATCTGCCAAACCAACTAAAAAATTACGTTAGTCTTGTAGTCATTCTGGTGAATTCTATATGATTGCTTAGGAAATGCTGCTTGGGCAGTCAACTTGCTCACACGCATTGGTGGATTCCATGTGAGCGGCAAAGTGTGGTGGGTGGTATTGGTCCAAGTTTGATTTAAACTCCCGGTGTGGATCGCGACATTCGTAGCTCAAGTGAGTAGAGCGCTGTCCTGTCTAAAAATCCTCTCTCGAATGCGGGTTCTAAAAGGCCACTCTCTTATGCGGGTTTGAATCCCGCCGAATGCCGCGAGATTTTCCACAATTGGATCAACTAAATTAACAAAATCTGCGAAACCATCTAAATAATAACGTTAGCATAGTAGTCATTCTGGTGGATTCTAGATGATTGCTTAGGAACTCCTGCTTGGGCAGACAACTTGCTGTCCCGCATTGGTGTATTCCATGTGAGCGGCAAAGTTGCTCGGGCAATATTGATCCATGTGTGATTAAACTCACGGTGAGAAGCGCGACATTCGTAGCTCAATTGGGTAAAGCGTTGGCGTGGGTAAGAGGCCAGTCTCCTATGCGGGTAGGAATCCCGCCGAATGCCGCGAGTTTTTTCACAATTTGGTCAACAAAATTAACTAAATCTGCCAAACCAACTAAATAATTACTTTAGCCTAGTAGTCATTTCGGTGGATTCTGGATGATTGCTTAGGAAGTCCTGCTAGGCAGTCAACTTGCTGTCCCGCATTTGTGGATTTCATGTGAACGGCAAAGTTGGGTGGGTACTATTGACACAAGTGTAATTAAGCTGGTGGTGTGAAGCGCGACAATCGTAGCTCATGTGGGTAGAGGTTGGCTTGCCTAAAGGCCACTCTCCTATCCGCTTTCGAATCCCGACGCATGCCGCGAGATTTTTCACAATTTGATCAAATAATTAACAAACTCTGCCAAACCAAATAAAAAATTACGTTAGCCTGGTAGTCATTTTGT